CCAAGAAGTGTCAGACGATCGACGAAGATAAGGCCGCAAAGATGGCGGCTCTATCCGAGTAAGCTTGCGTAACCTGTGTTGCAAAAGGTCGGAGACGTCTTTCTGAAGACAGGCCGAATCCGCAAAGCATTGTATTTCGTACTTGGAGATTTATGTATTGTGACACTTATGCCACAAACCGTAAGTTGTAGGTTGCCCGATCTCATCAAGGCATTATCCGACGTGTAGACGAATTAGTTTTCCCGGCGCGCGTACGCTTGAAAGTCGTGGAGGTGAACAAGACAATCTCGCCATATCGCAGATTTACTTACAGAAGAATTAGAGCTTACGGCCTGCCTGTACTCGGTGGTGAGACGAGCAGCCGGAATTACATGTTCGTACAGATTTTCGTAGCCGCTGACAAAGGGACCGCGGCGCGTAGCAAACGGACGGTCTTGATTCGTTGCGCTATCGTTTTTAATACGCTTGATCTTGTCTCAAATTGAGAGTAGTCAGGCACCCAGCGTATCGTAGGTTGATTAACAGCTGGCAGTTGATGTCCCGTCGTCCGCGATTTGCGTTGCAGATTATCTAGCTGTGCTGGACGTGGTGGTGCCACAGAGCTTGGCGATGGGCGTACGGTGATCGCGGAGTTGACTCCGTGGAAATGGTTGCCATTGTTAGCAAAAACGGCCTGACTCTGATGTCAAAGCCAAGGTAAATACAGCTAGGCAGATCGACTGTGGTGGGAGTAAATACTACCCACGATTATTTACAAAAGAGCAAAAGGTAAACGCAAGATCAGTGCGACCGGTGAAGAGAAAGCACCACAATATAGGGTTGCTTCGGCTGATTAGAGTGAACTTGTCCGACTAATACCTAAACAAACGCCTAGCTCGCTTAATACTACGAGGGCGACTGACTGTAGTTGAAGTGCAAATGTGAGCTTCGAGGGCTGGTCGACTTAAAGTTAGGCCAACGCAAGATGTACACGAAGACGCGGTGTATTGCAACTACAGTCTTAGCTACGAACTTTATACTCGTAAACCTTTGAGAGGTGGTCCTTACGTCCTCTCAGTCAAATGCGTTACGAACAAGATATCAGGAGACGAATGTTTAAGTCTGTAGAAAGGCGCTATAATCTAAGGTTGAGTAGGCGGGTCGGCGAAACGGGGTATGAAGCACGAATCGATGGCAGAAGTAACCGCAAAATTAAAGCTGTCGTAAGGCGAGGTCGCAAAGAGTCTTCGACGGTGATATGTGAGTTCGAGGCGTCGGGCTGGATCGAGGTATACCCACCCTAAGAGCTTGCATTAATTACGCCGCACACACCTCGACAGGTTTTAACCCATTTTACATAAATGGATTGATGAACACCCGAGCGCCTTTGACACCACCAATAAGTGGCTCCTCATTTATGTTCTACTTGCTCATATCAGCCGGCTACACTCCGGACGTCATGCGCAGAGTCCGCGACGCTCTGGCCGAGAGCCAAGAAAGCAAAAGTAACGCGCCGATGACACACATATGTTATAAAGATACCATTTAAATAGATAAACGCCCTGTCTGCAGTCTACTGCATCGATCAGTTTCTCAGTCACTAAAAACTTTCATTAGCTATACGATAAGTATCTAATAAGAATGCGAGAACATTTGTTGTCCTATTTATGATTATCAAAGTCATACTAAAATACCACTTAAACGATCTAGTCAGAAATGAAGAGCTTTGATGCATACAAAGCAAAATCTCTACCATTTTCACCGGCCAAACTATTATTTAACTGAAAGCAACGACGTGGTTCTGAACCGCTATGGGCGCCTCTTGCCAGGGAGTGCCTTGACGAAGCACAAGGAATCATTTTGAGATCTAGCTCATCTCAGCCTTGATGCGCATTTGGAGCGTTCTCAACCAGATTGACTTTGTCGCTCGGACAGAGTACAGATTTCTTGTTGATAATGCTTTCGTGAAAATCTGATTGGTCTAATCACGTACCTTCAAGGGTAGTAAAATCTTCCAGCCGAGATGAAGACGACTTGTCTCATTATCGTGAGTACTCACTGCTTGTCGATTTGACGGGTCACAAAATGGCTTGTCAAGCATCGTGTACGCCTATATATAGAGGAGAAAAAACAGCGTGTAAATCACTCGCGGGCTGGTATATAATAGCATTGTGTCTTGATGCCTTCTCAACGGTTCTAGCCAAAGCGTGTTCACGTCCGCAAGAACTGAGCACACTGCTTAATCAGCAACAAGCCGATTCCACCGAATAATCAGATTCTCTTTCAGATATGTACTAAATAAAGGTATTTGTTGGAGAAAGATTTTGCTCAAGCCAATTTGGCTTTTGCTCACATCCGTCGTGGAGAGTATATGGTAGCCTACGCTGATGCTCTGGTTTTAGTTTGCGATTTTGCCATCTTCGTCATTGATTCAATGGAGGCTCTGCCAGCAAGCCGTGCTAAGAAAGTAGTGGTTTGGATTGCCAATCTACACGCAAAAATCAAGATGGGCTTGGCTGTTCGGAACTCATAGAATATGGGCTCATCGTCCTCATTACCGTCAGCCCTGACTCATTTTCTGATCAAGATATTTACGGAGGTGCTGAGTGAGCCTCTTCGTCAGTATGCGCAGCGACTCCAGCGGGCCGACTGGGGCACAAGTTAAGATAGACCAGGTCAAACAGAACCACTGATATCTTTTGTCTGCTTTCCGTCGAGAGCCTATGTAAAAAATGTTTAGATTCATGTTTGGATGCAAATACAGGCTTCAACGACGTATTGTGCCAAGGCAGATTCAATTCTTTACGCCAGTTGTAAGCCGTTTGGCTATCATTTTTCCGAGTATTGCAGCCTTTGAAAGAGACTTTTTGCTGATTGGACAGGAGAAAGACGAGCATTGCAACTCGCTATCCGACTTTTCTTTGGAAGGGGATCCTGCACTCAAATCAGCATGACACTTAGCGTGCCATACTGATAAAACGATAATACATTCAGAGATTGATTATAGTACCAACGATAGAATTCATGTTGGTCCCACTATTAACTTGATAGTGAAAATAGTGAGAAGTCTCACTATTGAAGTGGACACTTGATGTTACGGTGGATTATCAGGCTTACCGGTAAAATCGGGGTATATGTAGATTTTGACATAGTCAATTCGAATTGATCCTGAGTAAATGTATCTGGACGTAGTAAAGGTTGATCCATCGGGGCTGCCGTAGCTCTTTCGCTTAGAGGAAGCTAAGCTGGGATTGGTGACCTTCGTTCTATACTTAGATCCAGTACGAGTGTAGCGGATCGCAATCCGCTTA